AATTCCCCAGCCGGCTGGGGAATTCTGGGAGTTGAAGTCCACTCATCTTAAAGTGGCCAAGTTTGGACAACACTGTATTAGATAAACTTTAGAACATGGCGATAGAAACTGCAGACAGAAGAAACTTAAGCCACATGAAACCCTGGGTCTGTAGGCATCCATAACACGCCACTCTGATGTCAGACTGACCTCACATGCGTCATCACGTCGTTGTACAAACTGCAGTTATGCATATGAATCATGATGTCTGATGCAAGCAGGCAAGAGCATGAAGAGGCTAGGCTGCATACGTCATCCCCCTCCCCCATGGATGCCAGTGCCTGTAGCCAGACATTAATTTAAAATATTTGTCGTAAGGGCACCTGCAAGGCGGGTCAAAGTGGCAAGATGGCAATTTTGCGGCTTTGTAAGCGAAGCCTCGCTTTTTAAAGGAGTTACGCAGGCCATCCAAGTGAGAAGGGAGGGGGGTTTCTATCGCGTGGGGGCAGGTCCCAGCTCAGCTTCCTGACACTCAGCTGAGCATCGCAGTTGCTAATAGACCAACGGTTGTCTGGATGCAGCCACTTTCTCACCTGGAAGAGCTTCTGGTATTCAGGAACTTTGTTTTTCAGCTGCCGGGCGGAGGTGGTGAAGCATCGGAGGGACTGTGCGTGAGCCACCGAGCCAAAAGAGAGGAAAGGTATCATGAAGACTTGGGCCAGGAAGTCAGTCAGTCTCTCTCTCTCTCTCTCTCTTTACAACATTCAGCAAGGAGAAGTTGTGGGAGGCGCTGATCCCATCGCTCGGTTGGTACCAGCCAAGTCGAGACCACAAAGCGCCACCAGTGGCCAGTATCCCGACCATGGGAAGCCTTCCCAGCCCACCCCGTGTTACCATCACAGGCATCTGGATCCCTTCCCATTTACTTTCCCGCCATCCCCACGTCTCACCCTGCCCCTGGCCTGGCCATTCCAGGAGCATTTGAAAAATGAAAAGCCACCTGGTCTCTCGGGACCCTCGCTCGGATTGGTGGCAAAGGTTGGCAGCCCCTTGAGTGGGGGACCGTCGCGAAAAATCACTTCCTTTCGGTACATCCTCCGGGTCAAAAAAATGTGGCCACAGGAGCAGTTGATGAAATCAGCAGCTGCCCGTGCAGTTTCTTTTCTGATGTGGGCACAGGGTGCGTGAATAGCAGAACCAACCCTTTCGGGTGGTTGGGAAGGTGAACTGAACAAGTTTGCCAGGAAATCACAAACTCTGAATAAGTCAGAAGGAGCTATAAACGGGTTCGACTGAATCAGCTGCACTGCGTTATTCTTTCAACTTCTGCTTTGCGGCAGAGACTGTGACTGAAAACACACCCACCCACACCCACACATAAATCCTGGGGGACCAAAAAGCACAAGGTGAAACTTCCACCTTTCGAGATTTGCAGATGCTGCCAGCTGTCTGGCCGTCCACCGTGGAGACGGTGGCCAGAGCAGTCCGACCTATATCCGGAGCGACCGCAAAGAGACCCCGTCACCCCTCCAGAACGTTGCTTGGGTTCATTGCCCAGCCAAGAATCGCCTGCGGGTCGCCTTGGCTCAGCAGCTGGGATCAGCCATAAGCAACCGAGGGGAGGGGACCCTAATCAGCAGTTCCTTTCCCTGAAGCTCTGTTTTTACCAGCAGGGATCTCATTTTCTCCCGCCTGCTCCTCTCTTGTTTTCTCTTCTGCTCCTTGTCGGCTTGACCTCTGCTGGGCCCCTCCAAGGATATTGCTCAGCAGCACAAAAACAGCTGACGGGGGCGGAGGCGGCTGGAATTTTGCTTGTCCAGCTGCCAGGAGTAAGGGAAGCGGGGAAGGTCAAAACACTGGTTGCAACCCAGCTGCCCTGGATTCGAAGGCTGGGGGGCAAGGGAGGGGGAGGCGGGTCTTTCCATGGGGCCCTAGTTAAAGACCCCGCCTCTGGATCTTTAAACAGAATGGCATTTTGTCTCCCTGGCCTGCAATCAACAGTTGTGCATTTGCCGATGTGCGTTGGCGCATTTGCAAGCAAGAACAGGCGCAAGGGAAGGGGCGTCACCAAGCCTTCTGCAGCCTGGCCGGTGAAGTCAACGCCTTCTGAAGAGCAGGGAATAGTATTTCAAGGGTCAACCTAGAGAGGGAGGCTCACTTTCAAGTCTCGCGTCTGACATCTGGAGGCCCTGGGAGATCCTTTTGAGTGGAAGCCATTTCCTATGCTCTGAGACTGGATGGTTTTGGCCAAGATGTTCAGCGTAGCCCTTGTGCTACTAAGCCATGATGTGGCTTGCTTGTTTGTGGCTTAACAAAATGTGTAAACTCGACCATTAGCCTAGTGCTGTGTGTGAAGCCACTCAATTGCTGTTCATTTAACACACCAGGGTTAATAAAATTATGGATGATTATAACGTGTGATGAGTGGCACCTGGGGAGCTTCATGGATGAGCGGAGAAGTGAATCCAGGTCTTTGCACTTCTAGCCAACCTCTAAGCATCTGCCGTTGCAGTTTTGTGGCATGCTACTCCAGAAACCCCCATCATCCCCAGTCAGCCTGGCACTGTGTTTGGAGAAGTTGGTGCCTGTATGTATTATGGGGCTACTCAGCAGCACAGGACTGGTTTGGACAGCCAGCTGCTGGTCCTGACATAACTCTTCACCTTAAGCAGTGCTGTGAAACCAGGAGATTTGCATATCCCTGCACCAGCTCAGGTTGATTCTATCAGTTCGGGAGGATGTGAGGGCCCATGTGGGGCCGTGGGGGTCACAGCTGAATGCTTGTTCCTCCCCATATATGCAGAAGCGAAAGCAGTTTGATGCTGCTTCTTCTCTAGCCTTGGTCGGTGCCTGGATCTCCCAGGGAACAGGTGTTCTGGCATCAGGCCTGTCACTCTCTTTGCTGGGGTGGTGGAAGACAGGCTCAGCCCGGGCAATGGGGAACCAAGGCACTGCAGCAGGGAACCACTAGCTCGGCGTTGGCAAGAGGTTCTCTGGCGTTTCAGGCACCCTCTTCCCTAATCTCCCAGGAAGACAGAAACAACTGAATCTGGAGTCTTCTGCAGGCAAAGTAGGGCTTTACCAATGACCGGTGACTTCTCATCAGCTTGGGCACCCTCTTTGCCCTGTTTTTGGAGCCAAAGGGTCTTCCTGAGCCCCTGAAGAGCAAGACATCTCTTGGCACAGTGGGGAGCAAGGGGATGACAGGTGCTCTGTCACCTGACTACCTCTGCTTTGCTTGCAGACATGGCGTTGAAATGGGTCACGGTGGGCTTCCTCTGCACTGGGTGTTTCTGGTTCCTTGTGAGCTCCGAGAAGCTGTGGCAGAAGTTGGAGCAAGAGCACTCCAGGTACATGGGACATCTTGCAAGGGATGGTGAGGGATGGTGAAGAAAAGGCAGAGTGACCAAGCGGTTAACTTTCCTTGCAGGCTCTGTCCTTGGGAATGCATGATTTTCGTCCAGATGTGGCCAGGCTCATTTTGTGTGGTGAGTGGGTGATTCCAAACCAGCTTTGCTTCTGAACAGGAGCTCTTGCAAATGTGTTCATTATATCACCTTTACAGTCCAAAGAGTACATCTAGTGTTGGACTTCAGCTCACCCCATAGTTTTGGCTGTCCTAGTTGGGAATAATAGGGGTAATAGTAAAGTAAAGCAAGCAGGAAAGAAGCCAGAGGAGAAACCCAGGAAAAGGAGAACTGAAGAGGACAGGTGGGTGAAGAACCATCAGCCCAACAGGACATCGGGCGCTTTGCCTAGGAATATAAGTTAGGTGCCCGCTGCCCAGAGAGTCGTACTCCTATGGATAGGACCATGATACAAATATTTCTTGGTTTGATTGCACTTATATTTCCCTGTTCTTTTCATGGAACTCAAAGTAGCACATATGAGCCATCTAATAGCATCATCTCGTATCATGTTATCCAAGGAATCTTGGATTGTGGATTTTTCAGGGAGCTGTCCTTCTGTGCCAGAAAGCCACCAGAGAGAAGAATGATCTGCTTAGCTGTGTTGGACCACCGATCTGCAAGATTCTGGCCAAGCTGCAGAAGCTATGCGCCAGCTCCTCATTCCCTCCAAAATTGGGATCTAAAACTGGATAACTGGGAAGCAATAGAGTAGGGCAAAAATAGAACTGAGGGGCAGAAACTACTGTTACACAGGATCTTACAGAGAATTATGTATCAATAGTATAGATTCTACAGATATCTACAGATGTATATTCTGGGTAGTTCTGATCCTCTCCCCAAAAGAGTGTAATTCCCACATTTTCTCAGAGAAGGGAAGGGCAAATCAAAATTGATAATCCATTTCTGAAACAATCTTCAGGTTGCTCTGGGACAAGTCCTGTGGGTTGGATTTAGGGATTGACGGGTGAATCAGATAGTACTACCAGGACAATAAAAAGAGTATCAGCAATTTTATCCCTTGTTCTCTTTTCGCCTTTTGTTTGAAGTCTCTAACAAGTAAGCTTGACTGTATCCTGACCAAGAACGCAAAGAACTGGACCATCCATGGATTATGGTGAGCTACTCCCATTTGAAACAAAACGTGCGCCTTTCCCGTAACTTTGAGCCTGTTCCAATCCTGTTTTTACCATCATGGCTGGGGGCCTTGCTGAGTGGAATCGATTTGGTACGGGTGGACTAAGTAGGTGATCATGAAAAAACAGACAGAAATATCACCAACAC